CATATGTATATTAAGATGCATTCGATTAAGCTTGAAAGCAGAAAGCAAATCCAAATAACGAAGAACAAGAAAAAACAAAAAGTTATTTAAAAATGTACTTTAAAAAAATAAAATTTTAATAGGCTTAATAAGACATTATCTAACAATATTTATATCTAGAAAACGTCAGACGAGATTGAGGTGACAAGGCTATTGTCTATATGTCTGATATCACATCACAATGGGAAATTTAACTGTCTCGCTTTAAGTTTGAAAACGTTTTTAGCACCGCAAACTTATGTGTCAGCATTCAAACGTGACATAGATTTAAGGGTATAGATTGCATAAGAGCTCGACGGAGGGCACAATACGAACCATAGAGCACAAAAAATCTTTAACAAAATGGCATTGACCAAGCTTCTATTCCAAGTCCACATAACCAACAGAAAACCGACCTATATTTAATGCACTCATCACTCTCATTTTTGCTTGTGTCAATCCGTTTTGTAGTGTCGTATCGTGTCATGTTACTTGATATTTTTATGTTGCGTCATTATATTCGTATCGTGTTCATATCAATACTAACAAAAAAAAATTATATTTAATGTGTATTAAATATTAATTTAAACAATTTATTATGTATATTTTATAATTGCGTCAATTTTAAAATTGAATCATGTTAGGTTTGTGTCGACGGGTGACATCCCTAATTGCTTATATTTAATAAACAAACAAACAATTATCATTACAAGAAGTTAAGAATTAATACCTCAACTACTTAGAAAGCTATCATAACCGTAAATCGTCGTTGTTTTATTGAAAATCTATTTTGAAAATAAATATTTTTAAAATATATTTTTACATTGAAAAATATTTTAGCGTGCTTTTTAAAACATAAGTTTTTAAAGAACAACGATAGTTTGATCAATAAGGTACAACAATATTTGAGTAAATAAGTTTTAAAAAGGACAATAGTTGGATAATTAACTCTCTTTGAATGTGTGAATTTCCAATCCAAAAATAAAAATAAAAATAAAAATAAAGAAAAAAAGTTATATTTGAACTTATTTTACTACCTTAATTTTCTGATCTAATTATTCATAATTATTGAATTAAAAGTAATCTCTAGTATTTGTTGAAATTCACAATCAATCTAATAGTTGTGATGGATTAATTCAACAAATTATGTCAATAAATTAAATCAAAATAATATTATTTAAAAAATTGTAAATTTTATAAAAAGCTTCAAGCCACTAACATGACAAAAAATGCTGCAAAAGATCCCCAAAGCACTTTCTCAAATTTTTTTTTGGGTTAATTACAAGTTACACCCTGAAAGATAGTTCAAATTTTAATTTACACCCCCAATGATTAAAAATATCAATTTACACCCTTAAAGATAAAAATTTGTATCAATGTGCACCCCAAAATATAGAAATTTGTATCAATGTGCATCTAAAATTAAATTGATAAATTATACATAGATCCCCTCATACTTGTCATTTAATCATTTGGAGCCCTTCACGTTTAAAATATTACTCCCACATTTCATGGCCTTTGTGCACGTGTAACACATAACATTTTTTCGTTGATGTATGTTAATATAACTGTTAAAAAATATGATTTTATCCTAATAAAAAAATTATGATTTCATATTACCCTTTATTTTGTGAGTCCGATACACTCTGAAGTTCAAAATCAAGCTCACCATTTGAATGTCCAATACAATATAGATATTTATATAATATTTTTTATATCCAATGCAATATATCACTCAATGTGCAACCTTTAATTCTATTAGACATTTAAATGGTAAACTTGATTTTGAATTTTAGAGTATATTGGACCCATAAAATAAAGGGTAATATGAAATTATAATTTTTTATTAGGATAAAATCATATTTTTTAACAGTTATATTAACAGATATCAACAAAAAGGGGTTACGTGCTATACGTGCACAAACGTCATGAGATGTAGGAATAATATTATAAATGTGAAGAGGTCCAAATGATTAAGTGACAAGCATAAGAAATCTAGATATAATTTATCAATTTAGTTTTAGGTGCACATTGATACAAATTTCTATCTTTGAAGGTACAAATTGAGATTTTTTATCTTTGGGGGTGCACATTGATACAAATTTCTATTTTTGAGGGTGCAAATTAAAATTTTTAATCTTTGGAGGTGCACATTGATACAAATTTTTATTTTTGAGGGTACAAATTAAAATTTTTGATCTTTGAGAATACAAATTGAGATTCGAATGATTTTTCAGAGTGCAATTACAATTAACCCTTTTGTTTTTTTGTGTGTGTGTTTCATCGCGTGCTTGTTTCTTTTTGTTTTGTGTTATAAGAAAAGAGATCTGATGCGATTCAAACTCAGTACTTCTAGGCTCTAATACCATATTGAACGCCATAAGCTCTAAAATCTTTAAGTTAATAAAAAAAAAGAGTAACATGAGTATTTTTCTAATATATGAATTTAGAACAAACTATGATACTAGTATTCCTTTGCATGCCAACAAAAAATCACACTTCCTGTTCTTGTTTAACATTTCATACTTTTCTACTTTTTTCTCTAAAATAATAATAAACAAATAATCCAGATTATCTTCTTCTTTTTTTCTTTTTAACATTTTATCTTTCTCTACTTGAATCTCTGAAATAATTAATAATAGACAATATACATAGATTAAGGGTGTGGAATCATAGAGTAAAACTATTTAGACATAAAAATTTGACCTAATTTACTGACATAATAATATTATTTCAGCAGAATTATTGGATCAAAATCAAATTTTAATGTTAGATGGGCCTCACAGTCAAATCAAAAATCATATATAGTAAATTAGGTCGGCAAATTATGTCCCAATAACGTTTTTCAGAATTATATAGTGGGCCGAGAGAAAAACATGTTGAAATTAGAGCAAAAAAAACAAGTATAAATATCATAAATAGTACGAATTCAAAGCTTATAAATTGCATAAGCGTTTGAATAACACGAACCAAATAACAAAAAATCCCAACCAAATGGCATCCCACCATGCCTCCCATTAAGTCCACATAACCAAAAACACAGCCGACTTCTTTAATGCAATCATTTGATTTGAGACCATTGGCTCCTTCAAAGGCCCAAAATTTGCCGTCCAAAAGGACCAAAATAATGCTTGAGCTTGTCATAATAATGGACATTTTCTTTAAATGTGAACACTTATAGAATGCTTGACAGTAGAACAAAAAATGTTGTAAATCTTGACTGGTTACAAATTGCATTATGGCCTTTTGACACCTTGACCATGCATGCATGTTCTCTCTTTTACTGGTCTTTGGAGATCACTTAGTATTAGGAAAGAGTGTGCTCCCATCTTTTGAAAGAAAGATGCATTATGAACTTTTCTTCGTTTTTTTGTAGTAGTGTTAAACATTCCTGCTCGGCTCCGCCTACCCTTTTTTCTCTTTTTTTTTTTTTGTTCTTGTCTTTGTTTCACACTATCCTCACCAATCAAACTATGCCTTTAACCTTTGCCCAAAGTGAAGGACAAACAATTATTGGCACCCATTGACTTAGTTGATATCTATAAAATTAGGCTTTTAAATTTTATATTAATCCATTATTTCTTTTTTCTTTTTTTGTTGTTGTTTTGAATCTAGTCATATAGTCATTTCTTTAATAAAAACTCCGGGAAAGGTTTGTGTATGATTTTTGAACTCTCATATGGACAGTATCATCATTCTTATTGTGAATTCAACGACAACAATAGATTAAGTCAATTAATTAGATAAGTAAATTAAATCAAAAAAGTATCACCATCTATTTCTATAAAGGCACAAAATCATTATTTTGGTATTAAACTTGAATTTGGGTATTTATATTAACAATATTAGCTTTGATGGGTAAAAACAGTTACATTTGATTTTGAGTCACTTGGATGCCACCTCGTGTATAATCGGATTTGTGATGTATTTATCAGTTCATTTTGACTCAATTATTAGACGGGTTTAATAAGTCCATCCCCTATATCGCAAGAACTTACTAAAATTAAACCCAAATTTTATAATTCTATATCGATCTAACAGGCCAGGATGGGTCAGGCTACGAGTAAAGCCCGTTTTAGGGTCTGTCGAAGATCTAGGCCGGATGAGCCCATGGACACAGAGCAACCTGCTTCATTGATAAGCAAGGACTGGGACATTGGGATAATTTACTACTAAAGTAATGTTCCCATTTTTGCTTAACTTTGATAGTTCATTATAGTAAACATAAATTACTCTTCAATCTGAAATTTGTTTGTTATTGCATCAAGTTACAATTTAAAACGATTAAAATCACCAATCAATGTATTCCTAAACATTTAAAAGTGATCGAAAGTCCATTCAAATGATGGGTGGTTGTTTATAAACAAATCTCTTGACTGTCTCGGTACTCTTATTTCTTTTATCACTGAGTGGTCATTTTAAGAGTCTTAGTTGGTGGTCCGGGTTGTTTTCCTCTCGATGATGAAACTTATCCCCTATTATCTTATTGGCTGACATTTACTCGTGTTATTTTGAGGTCATATATAATATTCAGAGTTCATTTTAATTTATACTACGACTTGCACCGAAATAGTACATTACTCTTAAATATCCGGTCAATTGCTAAGCCTCAACACATTTTTGGGAGAACCAAGTAACTCTGGTTTCGAGTGACTCTCTCTCTTTAATTTTACGATGGCATGTAGGTCCCACTTAGTCACCTAAACCCCTAAAAAGAAAAGAATTGTCTAGGAAGGAATATTTGAATGCATCAACTTTGTCACCACCGAAAAAGGAAAAAGTGGAGGCTGGCACATGCATGCATGTTTTCTTCTGCTTAACCTTTCTAGTAGGAATAAAGGGTGGATGTATAAATATGCATGGCATCTCTATCCTTTTAATTTTATTCTCCTGGAAATGTGTGAAGGTTCAACCAAACAAAAAAAGACAAAAACTATGCTCAAACCATATCTATATTAAGGAGAAGACTACGATACCAAAAAAAAAGAATGTGTTGGAATCATAATTTGACCTGATTACATTACAATTCTCGATACATAACTTTACTAAATCTGTTCAAACTCTTAAATTAAACAGAAACCACTGAGAATTATCGTCGTATAGCTAGTACAGTTGACTATATAAATTAAGATGTCCAATACATGTTACTGCTACCATCTTCTATGGTGAATCAGAGAAAGTAACACAAATATTCAACAGCTAAAATGAGACATCAAAGTGACTACAGTACAGAGCATTGGTCACAGACTCCGATCCCCTGCAGCTGAAGTGAAAATAACACAATTACACGGAGAGAAAGAAAGGCAGTCCCCTCTCCACATCCAAACCAACCCCTCTTCCGGAAAAAAAAGGTGATTTCCTGGTAAACAACGCTTTTCTGCACTTCATAGGTGCAATAGTAAGGTAATATATAAAATGGTGGCATTGGAATGGCATTTCAGCATTTGGGTTTGAAATGAATTCATGCAGTTATATACGTCTAGCAACTGCAAGTTATAACTCATCTGGTTCAGCAGAGAAGTCGGGTTCTTCAGGTTTCTGTAATTTTGACAAACCAATACCTTTAATCTTCTGAGCTCCTCTCCTCGTGTTTGCTGCGAATCTAGAGGCTAATATTGTGACCCCAAGGTTTGATTTCGTCTGGGAGGAATTTGAACTGGCAGAATTATGACATTGTCCCTCCCCCTCTTGCGAGGTCAAATTGGCTGTGTTCTCATCAAAAGCAAAGGATTCAACTGTAGCAAGATCTTTTGCCACCATCCTCCTCTTATACCGTAGCCAAGCAGCCTGTATGAAGCATGCTGCCCATGTCCTCCAATGGTGGGAGTAAAACCGGAAAGTGTGCTGCAGCTTCTTGCTGTGAAGGCGTCTAAATTGATTGGCTACAAACTTGAGATCTTCGGCTCGCAATGCAAAGGCTTCCACTTCAACAAGTGCTCTGACTGTTCTAGTCGACGTTGGCAAGTTGAGAGTGGATTTTGGAAGCAAAGCCCATGCGAGGAGCTCCTCCCCACAAAAATCTCCAGGTCTTAATGTAATGGAATTGAAGAAACCAGTCCGACCACCGTTTGTAGTCGAACTCTCCAGTCTCCCTCTGATAATGAAGAGCATCTCTATCACAGGGTCACCCTCACGAACTATATATGTACCCTCAGTGCTCAAGGAGGAGACAAGACGCTCACATATTGCATCAAGTAACTGATCATCCATCTGTGAAAAGAATGGCACCTGGAAAGTATGTTGTAAAATAAATAAAGAGAATAAGAGAGGTTACTATGCAAGGAAACACAAGCTGACATGTTAAAGAAATGTTGAATTTAGCTGGACACTGATATGGATATGTTGCACATTTATGGTACTTGGCGCAAGACGGTTAGGATACATCTAACGGGTCTTGAGGCCAAAATCTATGCATACTTGTTATGGGTTCTAGCGAGGACATCTTAGCATTATAATATCAACAGCTTGACCAAATTCAACCGGTTAAGCAGTCAACCTTGATTGGCATGCATATGCAATTCTAATATAAGTTAAAAGGAGTTTACAATTCATGCATGCCATCTCAAGATATCTATACAGATGCATGTCCCAGTCGGTAACAATGTCAATAAACCCTGAAAATCAATATTTTGGACAAATATTGCATTATTCAACAACATATAAGATGTTTTATTTGTATCAAACAAGATGCTCAGTGAAAATCATACACGTCGAACAAGGTCCAAGCATAGGTGACACTGTATATCACGTCGTAAATCAGAAGGCAAGCCACGAAGGATAGTTTCTTCATCAACTCCTCTAGTTGCAAGCCACTTATATTGAACAAAACGGCGAACACGTTGTCTCAAATCTTCAGGGAGTTGGCGATGCCTCATCCACTCCTCAGTGTCTCTTCGCTTAAGCCTCCATTCCTCAAGCCTCACTGTTAAAGACTGCAGGTATGTCTACATGCAAAAGGGGAGGGGCGGAACTTAAAATATGAACATAATACAATAGAACAAAGAAGAATGATCAGTAATTCATAATGGCCAAATGGAAAGCGAGTATGGGTAAAGTTTTTGCAATGCTACATGCAACTTTTTTACTTAATTTAAATGTGAAAGATAGGTTTATTTTACCTCACTAATCTATCTTAATGGCTTCTCAATCAAGTTGGATGTCATAGACTCATACTACAGGTTGTAAAAAGTGTCATAAAATTACGAGGAATACATGAGGTGTAAGGAGATTGCAAAACAAAGCCACTAATTTCATATAAGCTAAGAAACTCTCTAAAGGAGCTTACTCATAAAGGGGGGCCTAATGCAAGTAGTCTCCGCGGCTATACTATATCAAATAGCCTAGGCCGCAACTCCACTAATTTTTTTTGGGTTCTTTGCTAGCCAGACACATGTCAACCAACCATCAAGTAACTATCCGTTCTTTTGCAAGACTAAGCTAAAAATACCTTAAATAAGCCATAAAAAGCTGCTCTTAGACAGCTGGTCAGGAAATGCTTTGAAAGAACTAAAGTAGATCTTCAAAGTGAAGAAAATGCCAAAACCATTTTGAATTCATCAATTCAGTTTGTTAGCACAGTGGACGAGGCAGAAACCCAACCTTTGGCTTAACCTACAAGAAGTGTCTTCTTATAAACCCAAGCTGGTACTCTGACACTAGACACTCTCTGCTTGTCTAAACCAAGTGAAGCCATCAGCCCAGGAGAACAAGAAATGGCTCCTCTGCTGCTTTGCATTAAATACAGTTTCAATTTAATCCGAGGCACAGTACAGAAGCAAAAAGAAGTGGTTGGCATCAAAGCATGTATGATGACTGCAAGTTTTTAACACCTAAGGTCTGACCCTTGAAACAATTGACCAGCCAGGGCTTCAATCTTGTACAAAGCATAGTCCCTCTTCAATAAAAAAAAAAAAAAAGCAGCTCCTTTGCTGCTTGCAATAAAATTATCTTTAACTAAGACTAATAAAGCACACAAAACAACCATAAAACTTAAAAGAAGCATTTATAATGTACAACTTACATAAGCATTTTAACCTCCAATGTGTGACACTTCAAACAATTGACTCTCAAGATAAGATAACAGTCATTACTGTCATCCTCCTCGAGCTTCTCATCCAGACAAGCCTCAAGGAGTAAACATTCGTGGAAGTCTTCTATCAGACAGCTAAGGCAAGGCTTTCTGGGGTTGTGCTGACTTGAGGGGAATGTATGTGCCCCAGGAATCACAAAACAACCAAGCACTCAGATACTAGTACAGCTAAATAGTCAGACTTAAGAGTGGGTAGGGCAATATTGATCAAACACTCAGAGTCAGCATTAAGATAGGCTGTCATGGATGATTTAATACAGGGATGCCCAATCCATAAAACATGTATGAAAATAACACCACAGGATGCCAGAACAAGTTCAATCAATCAAGCAGACATTTGAGAGGGGAGACAAAAATCCTTCTCCAGTAATCAAGAAAAGAATTATATTTGAATAGTCTGTATCAGCACAATGTTAATATCAAAATTTAAATGCAAGGAAAAACTGGCCTTTCCATGTACCTGCATATTCCCAATAAGATGTGCGAATAAAACAAGGCCCAAGATGGCAATGAGTATGGCAAATAATGTCTCCCCAACAAAAGTGCTTGTTTGCAAATTCTGGCCATATGAACTGCGAAATAACAAATACAAATGTATGCATTAAAATTTCATAATGTTCTAACAATAAATAACTATTTTAACTAATGATTGGTTTCAAAAGGCATCATATGTTGAACCAAGAAGGGAAAGTATGCTTTTCATAAAAGAAATTCTCTTAAGGAGGAAAAACAGTTCGTATGTACAAGAATATGTCAAAAAGCGTAGTGTGATCAGTAGAACATTTTTCAGTACCAGTAGCACAATCCATGACAACTCTATCAGTACGGTAACTTAATAAATATCTGGAAACACATCGCGCAAGTATACTATGCTATAGTATAATCATATGTTATGATAGACTACGAATCAAGAAACTCTCTAAGGAAAAGAAAGAGGAAAGGAGAGTGGTTGAGTGCCATTCACTCAACTCCACATAAATATAGTTCACATCCCCTCCTAGAAGATATAGAGAAGATCAAGTTAGAACATAGAAACAGGGATCTCCCACAGTTATTAAAGTAGTACCATAATTTCTTCAAACATAACAACTTCGACCGAGAAATTTAAAGGCATTCTATAAAATTAGTTCTAACAAGTAACAACATCAATGAATCCAGTTATCTGGTGTGCAAAACATGAAACACTATAAGGCCATATTTCTTCTGCATCTAATGCAGGTGTATTCATGAGAATGTCTTTGCTTCTCTCTTCTCATTTCTCCCATGGAATCTTCCTTTCTCGGATTCTTGTATTCTTTTAATCCAGCTCCTCAAAATTCAGTTTCAGCGTTCTCTGGGGCCAATGGAGAAATATTCTCTTCGAAACCAATTTTGCTCACTTATTAAAAAAACTGATGTGGCAAGTTGGCATCACACAACTAATTATCTCACTCCTTAACCAATGCAATAATTACAGCAACAAAAGCAAGCAACAAAAGCAAGGACAAAGCAAAAGACAAAATGTACCAGATCCAAGTGTGAGAGTCAGATATACATGCACCAATTCTTTACTAGTTGGACATATCATATGGCTCAAGTACCTTCACTTAATTCCATTCTCGAATGATAGAAAATTTTGAAAGAAAAACAAATACAGTTTTAATCAATAAATTATGTTCTAAGTCTTCTCTTTGACTCTCATCTCCTAAAAATTTCTTACAACAGACAAGTTCTTGCCAATAAGTTGCATAAATACATTGTTCCCAGAACATGATTGATGTTTTCACAATCGGATACATATCAGATATACTTAGATGCATTCATTCATAGATATGGAGAATAAATGTATGCATCAATCCTTTAAATAAAGCCATTATCACGAATGCGAATATTGGTGAGATAGGCAGCTCCCTGATGATCCCAGTTGGATTGAGGATTTCAAAGACCAAGAAACAGCAGCATCGCACCCCCCCCCCCCAAAAAAAAAAAGAAAAAAAAAACCCCAACCAGAAAGCAAGTATATTATTAACAAAAAACTAAAAGAAATTACGAGAATGTTCAAGAAGGAAAACCTCAGATATAGAAACCTATAGGATACCACTACGATGTGTCTGATATCGCATGAGATTTTTCTATTAAAAAAGCATTTTCTCATATATCACTTGTTAGTATCCGAGTACGTGTATAGGTAGATTTTTAACAAGTATTCCACTTTGATAATTAACCACATATCTGGTTATTCTAAAAGGTGTTGTTTTTAAGTTACAGAATCATCAAGTACATCATACCAAGTTGGTTTCTCAAAACTTATGTACGTTAGACTTCATGAATTAAAGAGGATTGTATTTGCATAAAGAGCATTCCTGCTTGGAGCATGCTATTCCTTAAAGGACCTCAACATTAGATGCACTGAAAATAGTAATGCAATTGTTCATTTTCTCTGAGAATAAAAATGTGCTCAGATCTAGTGTTCCATCACTTACTACAGAAATCGTTGCCCAAAAGTAGTTCCTTCAACCACATTCCAATCAAATTGCCTCCCATATACATATTTACACTTTAAAGCCAACCTATGATCAGGCTCAATCCTTCTGATGCTAGTCGGTGTCTTCCGGTGAATAAGTAGAGAAACAAACAAGATACAACAAAGTAAAGTTGCCATCAAGACATTATGCCTGAGGATAAGTAGTTACCGCACCAGCTAGCAGAAAGAAAGATAAGTAGTTATTGTTTTCTGTTTAAATATAGGCTAAATAGTGCCTAGAGCTTTATTTATTTATTCATTTTTTGAACAGTGCCTAGAGCTTTATTGGAAACCCCTCTAGAAATGGTATACAACTTATCAGACTCATATAGTGCATATAGACTCCAAAACAAATTTAATTAATTGCTATGCAGGTTCCACTCCATCAAAATGAATCCTTTTACCAATTCAAGTTAGCCTAAAGACACGTCTAATATTCAAAAGCAACAAACAAATTACAGTAACCAAATTAGAGCAATCTCCATTCTTTGAACGCAAATGATGAATTGGGAGAAAATATACCTTAGGTTCTGTAGGCCCCACCACAAACAATAAAAGTATTTTTCAAGGAAACTCGAGGAGACAACATTTTTTTGGAATGCGTTTTCAAACATGCCATAATTGAAAGTAATATCATTGTCAAGATCACAACTTCTAAACGCATTTGTAGTATTTGCCCAAGTCTTGCGAACATCAATGTCGAGGGTACTACAATCCAAATAGGAAAGCATGCATTTTGCAGGCCTGATTTCCTTTCTGCAAATTGATTTCCAGCATGACATATACCGGTCAACCGACAGTAAATACCATGCTGCCCCTAAAACCTGGAAGAAGGTGGAATCATCAACAATCTCATTTTATGGAACTCCAGGAAGGTGAAAAGAGAAAAAAAAAGAAACTTAGACAATAAAAAAAATGCCACCATGAGATACACATGGTGGATTTAAACAATAATTCATTTGAAATAAATTCACTCAATTTAAAAACAAATTAATTACAAAGCCACATACATGGCTAGCCAGCATGTAGAGTAGCAGATTATATGCAGCCCCTGCCCAAGCAGTTTTTGTGACAAGTCCAGTTGCTTTAATAATTTCTGAACTTAACGGGAAAATCAGATATAACCTGGGCACATATTGGAATAGAACGATCAGAGCAAGGGCATTGTTGTCATGTTTAGCTTGTTCACTTCTCGATGCTGGTATGATGAACCAGATGACAATCTGCAAAAGTTATTTTTGGTTAAGATTCACATTGATCTCCCAGTGAGCTCTCAAAAAGGCCTAATATATGTAGTAAAGAAAAAATATGGAAATCATACATAAGTCATATAAAGAAATAGGAGCAAACTAAGCGTCATCCCTATAGTACAAAGTCATGCAATCTTTCAGAGACAACAAGCAATATTTAGAGCATCGTGATACTGATGGATATTGTTTATCAACGTTTACCGCTAATTTCTATGCTGGAAGAATAGTCCAAAATCCAGGCAGACAATTAAGAAGGAAGGTGTTTGACAGCATTTCATGTAAAAAGAATTGAAATACCATTTCTTTTACTCTTTTAGTTATACTATACATACCTAGAGGGAAATGGAAAAGTGAAATATTGAATTTATGACTACCCCAATTCCTTCAGTTTATTAAATCCATCATTCCAAGCAAAAGTTAAACAAGAGAAGGAATGCTTGCTACAGAGTTTCAGCCTAATGAAATGCAGGGAAAGATCAATAGAAAAGTGTCGTACCGTGTATCCATACCCGCACCGCGTACCAAAGCTACCCATGATCCAATAACATTGATCAGGAAGATAAGATCACAATATAATAAGATGCACTTATGGCATGAACAAGGGGAAACCAATTACTATGAAATAGATAGTCTAGTGAGTAGCCTAGCTTTGATATTATGTTAAAGCAACTAATGCAATCAATTAGGAACGAGAGAAGAGACCTACAAAGTTCATATATTATTATGGGAGGTGGCTCTTATGAGAGACAAGCTCTAATAGTAATTAAGTTTGGTTACTACGTCAAAATTCATCATTCCCACTTCGTAGTAACTGACAAAATCGTGAAACAAAATATTTTCCACAATGCGGCTGAGTGTTCTACAAATAAATTGATAATACTGAATACTAATTGTAATCAGGTATCTATTGTTAGACAATCCTCGACTCTCCTCAATCCTTTTTTGAGGTTAATCCTCTCTCCCGCAACTGGTGCCACTAATTATGACTTGAGCAATAATTCAAGCCACCTTAACTTTAACAACTAGAAGACAGGTCATAAAACAGGATGGTTCAATGCACTTTGGTTTGTAAAAGACATCAGATTTACAACCAACAGCATGTAATTCACATGCACAGCCAGCAGTTGGAAAAGAAGTATTGGAGCTCTGTCAGATCTTAGCGGAAACTACAGTAGCACATAACTGCAAGTAACTAATGGTTGGTCCAGGGAAATCAAATCATGTAAAAAAGCTTCAAGTCTCCATCGCATTGTGAATGCAAAAAATATGAGCATGGATATGATTCATTCCATTCATTTTTGTTTTGCTATCTAAACCTCTTGATTCAGATTTATTAGTATATTCTAGCATTGTCATTTTAATTTGACAATCTAGAGTAACATCCTCTTACATAATTCGCGGCCATCAACTCTTAGCATCAAGAAAGCATTCATCAATGATTAGTGCCAGAAAAGGGCAAGTTCAACTGCTAACCTAATGCAAGCATCAAGAACTAGAACGTGGTTTGTCTCATCAATACTAATTGTGGTACTAAATGTAATGAGGGCTCGTATCCCACCTGCAATAATTAGGATCAACCAAGGTTGGTTGGTTTATATGCTTTAGTGGCTACTCCACTCATCGCCTATTTAATTTGGGATTGGTGGTCAGTGAGTCAAGGCCCTTATCCATTTAAATTTCACGATGTGCATGATTCGCTATTTGCTTGTTAGCCCCATATGCAAGCTTGGATACCACATCAAGGTGGGTGTAAAAAGAGTTTGTATCATACACCAAATAATTAGGACCAACCAAGGTTGATGATTTATATGCTTAAGGAGCTACTCCACTCACTGTCGATTGGTTTTGGGTTGGATGATCTAACACCAATCACTGAACATTTCAATTTAACATCACTAATAATAGGGCTTCATCCCATATTTTAAATTGATGGAACATAAAAAGAAAATAACATGTGAACTGCCCAACATCATTTCAAAATCCCAGAAAGCTAAAAAGCCCAAATCCACCCACCACCTCCAAAAGGCTTAACATTTGGAGAAGTGCATGGGAATTTATCAAGCAACATTGACATTCTTGCAGCACAAATGTGGGATTTAGAATAGTTTTTTGATGGAACACATACAAGAAATAACATGCTAATTGCCTAACATCATTGCAGAAAGAAGGCTCCATCCCATATAATTTCAAGCTAAAAAAGCAAAAAATATTGCTTTGGCATATTTCCAGTAGTAACATTAGCTTTCTTCAAAATTTTCTTATTATGACTTATTTTGCATATGTTTTCGCTAGTTGACTAAAGTTGGCCAGGCAGACTGACATTAATATGGTTTAAAAAGTTCTCAGAAGCATCAAAGCAACAGTTTCGACACAAAAACCAAATAATCCCATTTGTTTCCCATGCCCCTTATTCTTTCAATTGCATGGCTGATAAAATAATTTAAGTAAACGTTGGATCTTGTGGATAAATGCTCAGGTAGATAGAAAAAGGAGATCTCAATTCCTTTAGCAAGTTGATCACATGCCAGTCAAAAGCTCACCTATATATACACACATACATTATACACACATATAGTACACGTAATATGTTGATTGCTCTTATAAATCTAAATAGAATTTTGCAACTTCTTCAATCATATGTGCTTCAGCTTTCTAGTACTCAGACATAACAAGAGAGTCAATGTAAATGATTTGTAAGGCAAAGTACCTGAGGGAGAGGCAGTGTTGCAATCAGATCAATGAAGAAGTCAGATCTTATATATCTTTGAGCAATCTTCTTGGGATCCATGACAAGCTCACCCCTCCCAAACACCCGAGAACTTGGTGCAACAAAAGCCGTCCGAAACTTAATAATCACATGCAATAGATAGAAACAATCGGCAATGGTGCGGAAAAAAGTCACAACAATTCGCAAATTTAAGTCCGTCTTTACACACCAAGAATCCTTGCTCCTTCTCATACCAGGCAAGTAAAAATACAATGGATCCACAAAGAGTGCCACTAGACACGATACAATGAAAACCCGGTTCCATTTTAGCACAATCTCACTACCCGGCTCCAGTATTCGCTTCGTCCACGGCTCACGGCCCTCTGGGAACACCTTAGCTCTCCCAAACCTATGAGGCTGAGAGATTTTGCATTTACCAACAGACCCAACATCAGTTTTCGACAAGGAAGATGAAAATTTGTACCCAGAAGATGAGTTTTCTAGGCGTACAGGATCAGTTCTTCCCCATGAAACACCCTTTTGCTGGTTGCCATTAGAATAAAACCTACAATTAATAAACCCAATAAATCAGCGGTAATTCCCACTCCCATTGCTTTGTTGCTGTGTTAAATTGTGTAAAAATAACCCGATCAAACAAAAAGAACAAAAAGAAAATGAAAAAGCACTTCGAATCTGTTGTTCTAAGTGGTTGTTTAGCATACTCAATTAAGTGGAGTTTCATGGCGCATGAGGTCCTGCACAACGAAATATCCAAAGTTTCATGTTTGAAAAATTTTCCCTGCCCTCGAAATTTTCCCACCAATCAAACAGAGCATCCCTCAAGATGGTTGTAAAAAAAAAATGTTGCCTTCACACTTAACCCAAGTCTCTCGTTTTCCCTGGTTGTTAGTAAATACTTTCCCACGTTTTCCCACCGAGCAAACATATCTAGCAAACAGAAAAACAAAGAAGAGTAAAAACTAAACATTATGTTTACTTCATACCTGACTTGCTTCTCTTTCTTCAAATCCATGCCAGTGAAGCAATGACACTGATCTCCTCCCTCTCTCTCTCCCTCTTTCTCTATCTAAAGGTATTTCAATTACAGAGTTCCAAACAAACATTTATCAGAACTCTCACATTCTTTGAAGAACTCTGAGTGCCAGATTTGAGAAGTCCCCAGAAGTCTCAAACAGGGGTTGGAGTGTAAGATCACTTCCCAGTGAAAGTGTACGTGTGTGTCCGTGTGTCCGCGCGCGTGTCTCATCAATTTGGACTAATCAAAGGGGGCTTTGATTAGTGGTAGTTGTTGCTTTTAATTACGATGGAATGTTTTAAATATTTAAATATCTATTTTCTGCCTTTTTCTTTGGAGAATGACACTTTGAACCTCAATAAATTTTAAATTCTCAATTTTCACCTTTAAAGATTAAAGACTTGACATTGCATCTTCAATCAAAGAAAAACATAAATGTACAAATAGTTTGTATAAAAATAGGAAAATATAAAAAAAAATACATCGATAAAAAAATTTGATTTTGAACATTATTGCTACTTTTATCAATTTTAGTTTTTTAAGGTATAAATTATAAATTTTAAAATCTTTCAAAATCCAAGTATCACTAATTTTTTTTTTGGAAAATTGTCTATACATTTTCTTCTGGACATGGATTCATGTTCTTGGCAAGCACTGCGATGCCGATAGACAAGGACAGAAACTCACAAACGGCATTTTTTTGACATACATCGACGGTGAAAAGGATATTATTGTATTTAGACTTTGTCAACTGTGTTAGTTGAGGTGAATTCTCATTGGATCTTAGTGAATTTGTGTAAAAAAAAAAAATTATTTATATCCGATTTATTTATTATTTTATGTTTAACATATTTTGTTATATTAGATTTATGTCGTGTATATAACTGATATATAAATGAATCATGAGATCCAGATGGTATGCTCCCTTTCTTTTTTCAAAAATGTTAGAATGTAGTGGGATCGAGTATAATTACTCGTGTGTTGTATTTTTTAAATGGTGGTCATTTTCCTTCAAAAATTAACTATACCCACGTCGTTTTAATTCTAAATTGTCTCAATTCGGACAATGTAACCCAGTTTGGTCCCATTAGTTTATGTAATATCCTTTATAAACTGGTGGCCAAGGTTTTGGCTAATCGGCTAAAATTGATTCTTCCATCTATTTTCCCTGCACTAATATGGTGGCCAAAGTTCAACTGCTTCAATCTTTGCGTCTTGGAAGCCTCTTAGAGATGGCCTAGTCAAGGTTAATTTTTGTGGATTTGAGATTGTGGAAGGGCAGGCAGGCGGTGGGAGTTGGAGCTGTTATAAGGGACAATAGTGGGGTATTCGTGGTAGGGATGGCTAAGAAGTGTGTGCATAGTAAAGAGGCATTAGGCGTGGAAGCCATAGCTTTTTCAAGAAGCAGTGAGGTTTGCTGGTCTTCAAGGAATAGAGTCTATGACTTTGGAAGGGGATTCTATCCAATTTTTGAAATCTATTATGGCCATAGTTTCTGATGAACATGCAGACTCCAAAGATGTAAATATGGATAGTGTGTGGGGGTGAACTCAAGAGTTTGAGTTATTACGAGATAATTAGGATCCAAAGAAATGGTAATAGAGTGGTGTCAAACTTGGTTAAATATACAAGATTTCTTTAGGGTTGAATCATATGGTAAGAGTGTGATTCGAATTTTGTGATGTGTTTCATCTTTTATGATATTTCGTATCAATAAAACATATATTGTTTCTATTCAAAATAAATAAATAAAGAAATGAGTCATATTGTATAAATTTTTAATTAATTTTACTTATATTCGATTCATTTATTAACCGTGTCTTGTTAGATTTACTAATTTACAAAACGGATGGTTCGAGGAAAACTCAAATTCCTTCAATTTTGTATTTTGTTAATGGATCGTGTCATATCTTGACACTCATAATCTATCTAATATTACAGTTAGAAAGTTGAATTCTCAACTTATAATAAGAAAACAATGTCTGAGATTGATTTAATATTCATTTATTTTGAGGTAATACTACAAAATTCATCATAAGTTTTTCTTTCTTGCTCAAAAATATAATTTTTTTTATACAATTCTTAATATTAGATAACTCGATCAATATATTAACACATTTTCTAATATCAAATAATCTCATTAATTTATATTTACCATTCTCTCTACTTTGATTTATAATTATAATTTTTTAACAAAAAATTGAATTTTTATTTTTGATTTTATTTTAATAAATGATACAATAAAACATAGTATTTTAATATTCATTTTATTTTAATAAATACTAAATATAGTATTTTAAACTTAAAGGGTCTAAATATTATATACCCACAAACTTTAGAGAGTCGAAATATAATTTATTAACAGATATATTTATAACAGGGGTCTAAGTGTTATGTGTGTATAAATTTCAGGGGATTTATGTGTAATATTTTAAATGTCAAGGGGTCAAAGTGATTAAATGACAAATCTTAAAAAATCTGAGTATAATTCTCTTAAAATAAAAATAAATCACTATTTTAAATATAAAATATTTCAATATTAATATTCAATTTTTGGTATTACAGGTATCTTTGCAAACGGAGTTATTTCTAGTTCTATTATATTTCTTGGAAATGGAAAGTTTCATTTCTTAATGTACGGCTAACGACACAAATGTAATTGATAACGAATCATATTGCGTCGTTGTATATTGTATCTAAGAGTATTATTATTGAGACTTAAAAATTTGACATAATGATGTGATTTCATTATGACTTTTGGATTGACTGCGGGCTCCATCAAACATTAGAACTTGAAATTAATTCAATAGGTTTAAAGAAGCCACATAATTATATCAACAAATTATATTAAATTTTTAAGTCCCAATAACATTACTCTTGTATCTAAATTATAGTGCGTCACAGTTAATTTTATTGTTTTGAAATTGAATCATAAAGCATAAAATTGATTGTAGTGGTATCAATTTTATTTTTAATTTTTTTTGGGTTTATAAAAAAACGAACCATCAGTAAATTATGATGTTCTGAGTTTAAATTTTGATAATTCTTTGAGATTAGATTAATTTCTCATTGTCTTTTATGAATACCCAAATTTCGACGTTAATAACTTGTTTCTGACCAAATAGAAAAAAAGATTAATTGAAATGTAGATAAACTAATCCAAACATCGTTAAAAACAAAAAAACAAACAGAAAAAAAAAAAAAAAGAAAACCCAAGCATCCGCAGGTGAAATTTTCCACCCTATCATTGATATGAGATGAGAAACAGACAGAAAAATTCCACAAGGCAAATCAATGTTGACTAATGACCAAAAAAAAAAAATCAATGTTGACTAAAATAATTAAAGGAGGACCGAAATGACATGATCTGCAAAAATGTTTCTTTTTTTATATTATTTTTAGGGTTGAATATTTGCTACTGATTTTTTCTCACAACAAATCTGATCTGTCTCTCTCTCATTTGAGAATTCAGCCCCCAGTGGGACCCAGTGGTCATAAAAATATTATTAGATTAGATTTGGGTTTGAAGCCTCGAAATATCAATCATATTCCTGTCGGTCACGTTTAATTGTTTTATTACTAAATTCAATAAAATTCTTAAATTTAACCATTTATCTTTATATGTATTGGATCTCTTATTTAGTATAAAACATACTTATACTCCGTTTAATACGATAAAAAATAGTTATTTTTATTTAGTCTAAAAATTCTCTACTCAACAGATGACACGATTCAAACTCGACACGAATTTTATGACACGAACTTGAAAATGACCTGACACGCGAATAAGGAATATAAAAGACTCATAATTTTATGACTCAACACGAATCTAACACGTTACGATTAGATTGTCACTCCTAATTTTAACCAGTACAAAAACGAATTAAAAAAAATTAGATTTTTTTATTTTTCATCCATCCAACCAAACACAAAAAAAAAAAGTGTATCATTCGTACTTTCTATCCTTAAAGGATAAAAAGTGTATCATTTCTACTTTTAATCTTTCCTATCAAATAGAGCATAAATATATGTTATACTAATTAGAGTGAACTAGTGATTTACGTTTTAGGTAAAAATATTGAATTTTCAACAATCATTTAAGTTTATAAATTTGAAACTTTACAAAAGTACAAAAATAGTCGGTCCAAAGAAAGCTACTGAAAAAAAGATTCTAAGAGTATATATTCACACACTCACTCACATATGCATACGCAGAAGCGTCTAAAGAGGATGCTCTGCAATCTTTTTTATTTTCTCTTTTCTGGAGTGCAGATGGATGTTTTAGACATTTGTTTTGTTTAATATAAAATTTGAAATTTTGATTCCAAAACATTAGCGGAAACATTGTGAAACATCCCAAACATAAGAATTCCGATGTTTCACCACTATTATTTATGTAAAAATGGAACGAAATTTTGTTCTTGTTTCCAGGTAAAGTTAGTGATTAATACACTCAGAAGAGTTGGGTCTTCTCTGGACATTACTAGCACTGCAGATCCTAAAGAGCATATCCAATCTTTATACTCTGGTTCTTCAAGATGCCATACAAATCAACCATCTCGTAAATATCGCTGAAGGATTGTTCTCTTAGAATGCACAATCTGAATAAAAAGATGTCAAAAATGTTCTTCTAGAATGCGCAAGCTCAATAAAAATGTTCTTGTTGCAGCCATTATTGTAGTAGTTTTAATTGACTGCTGAAAATCTTTGATTCTGTTACTGATATGGGACCTTTACTTTCAGCACAAAGGAGATACAAAGAGCAAACTGTATCTCCAATTCAACCAAACTGTCATTTTCATAATACCTCAACAATCCCTCTCTCTATCTCTCTCTCAATATATTTTACTACTGTTGTTTATGTTTCCGACGCTCTGTAACTGCAGTTCAATGACGAAACAACAAATGCTGTACATTTGCATGGAAATATCAAAGGGTCTGTGTACATATGCCTTATCCATACCAGATTCATTATTGGACATCACAATGAAGCAAGTAGGCAGTCATAGAACTTCAAAGGAACCTACGATGTATCAGTCAAAACACTTGTGAGTACGACGATAATCATGACAATGAAATTCATCCAATTACAATCTAATCAGCTGAAATAATAATTTTTTTGTTGTTGAAAAAAGCAAATTCAGATTAGTTCTCGTACAAGCATGGTAGTGAGGCCCCAATTCAATTTAAGCAACAGTTCTATAAGCCATTATCACACTTAAATGCTCATTCATCCAACAATCTCTCATTG